AGTTTGTTCACCACACACCTAAAATCCTCCATCAGGGTGGGCGGGGACATGTATGATTCACATACCATGGGAGCAGTTTGCTGAAACGGATCAATGTAGGCTTTAACTTGTAGCGTTTTCAAACGTTTGTTCAAAGACATTTTTTGCATTTTTTGCTACTCTATGCAAGTGACCCATTGTCCTGTACTTAATGTAAATCACTATCCTCGTCTAATAAGCAGTTTGCGATGTCGCGCTGAAGCAACGCCTCGTTTTTTTTTTCAATTTTTTTGTCCATCCAATAGCCTCAGAGTATTTAAATAGTTAAATTTCTCGAATTGGCCCCAAAAAGTGTTCTATTGTAATCATTATTTTGTCTTCATACTCGAATGCTTGAAAATAAAAGAATCAAAAGAATCGTCCATCGTCGGTTTACCAAGTACTCATAATTCACTACATCCACTCGTATCTTGATGGACAGCTTGTAGCCCTTTCCAGGGATGATGTCCAATCCCTGGGAGTCCTGGGTGACGTTGGTCTTGATGGCCCAGGGGATGGAGCAGATGTTGTCGGGGTAACTCTTCACATCGTCACAGCCCCCCATAGAGGTGTAATCTTCCAGTTTTGAGAAGACGGTCTCCGTAATAGAGTCCTCGACTATTAGAATTACGAAAATGAGATAAGCCGGTTACTTCTTATCATTGCACAAAAAAAATCAAAAAACTAACGTTTTTTTTACAAAAATGTTTTTTTTTCAAGGTGAGATGGCAAAATTGCAAGTCCTAGTATGTCCTTTCATTATTTCACGTAATCGTTGAACTAGAAAAGTAACTGATCATCGTTGAAATGACAAAATTCAGAGTTTTCACAAAAAATTGAGCACACATTAGCAAAAAACCAAACCCGATTAAACAAAATGGAAAAAAATTGCTGCAATGTTTTCTCCAATCTGAATCATGACTGAAAATGTTTTGATATGAGAACAGATTTGATTCCCTGTCAATTTATTGTGAAGTAGTTTAAGCCAGCCGCGCTCTTTTTAGGTACTTAAAAACCCATCCTGCAACATAACCATATCTCATTTCACAAGGAAGTCGGAAAGCGGTCATTCCAAAATATCGAAATCAAAGGACTACTTTTAAATGACAAATGACGGCGTTGTGTGAAAAAGTGTTTTCTTCAAAACAATTTTTCATTTAATTTTCGGTAATTTATGTGTTATAATTTTTTCAGGCTTTTTCAAGTAAACTATTTCAAGAAAAACCTAAGGATTAACTTCTGATAGAAAATACAAATAGTTTGATTGAAAACCCAAAAAAAAACTTAAAAACGTGATCTTTCAACGTGAAACACCATGATGATATCAAATTCAAAGCGGCTACTGAAACTTGAAAATGCAAATACGGCTTCTGACTGAATGAATAGTGTAAAATGAGTGATTTTGTAGTTGATAACTCGGTGTATATAAATTGGTTCCTAACTTATTTCCAAAACACAGAAATATAGTTTTTGCACTTAAGACGCCAAACTAGTGGGAGTCACTTGATAATCTTCTCAGGAAAACAGGACTGATTTTCGGATAAATACATAAATCGAAAAAATGTTGCGACACATTAATTTAGAGTTTTGTCAAAAATCTGTCCTCGAATCATTAGGTCTTTCCTTGAACAAACTGAAAAAATTAGTTTTTTACATTTAATATAGACAACCGAATCAAATTTACCACGCCAATTTCATCAGCTAAGATTGCCCAAAACGTACCGATAATATGGTTAAATTTGAATGCCTGCTCAATTGTGGCTACAATTTTATAATCTGCTTGCGAGATTTGGACTGCTACCTCCCAATTTTTTAGCATAAGATTTTTGTTGCTGAAGAAATATTTTATTCAATTTAGTTTTTATTTAATACAATGTGATAATGACACTGACTGAGCGAGTAGTACAGGATGGTGGTTCCCTGGAGGAAGTGGGTGATGTTGAATGAGATGAACACCACACCCTCCTCCATATCCCACTCCTTGCACTCCAAAAAGATGATCTTCGGGCTGGCTAAAACACCACATCACTAATCCTATTTCGACTCCTCATTCGATTCATGTCTAGACAAATTTGAAGATTTTCAAAAAGTTTATCAACAGTTATTTAGCTCGAACATACTGATCTTTTGAGCTGTCTCGAAACATCAAAATAACTTCCAAATTGCCATTTTTAGACCAAAAAAAAATTGGCGCTCTCCCTTTAATTTTAGCGTATATTGCCCGCTAATGAGTATGACAAAATGTTGGCTATCAAATTCCTATTTGCACTAACGTGCATTGAACGTAGTGGCTGCAACTTCAAATCTGCAGTTGAGACAACTGCCTTGATTTTTCACACTGTCTTTTCGGCATTCATCTGAAGAAACGAACATTTGTTTGTTATAACATCAAGAGGTGTTGCTGGATGAAGAGAGTTTCTGCTAACTTTGTCGAATAGTACTTGCACCTGCTAATTCAATCACAACGTATCAAATGAACTCTTGATCAAATTTTGTCTCTTATCGAAACCTATTGTTAAAATGCATTAATCAAATATCAAGTTCATTAATAATAAAAATGACCTGAGGTAAAGTCCAGTTGAAACAAAAGGTTACTTTTGTGGATGGATTATGCCACTTTTTGTGACATTTTTACTGTAAACTTATCTATATCTTATAGCTTACTGCAGTCGGAGACGAGTGTCTTTGCTTTTGGATCATACGTTGCGAATGTCAGTTTGAAACAGAGCACAGATGCAAAAGACATCGACTCAGGAATATAAGAGAGTTTATTTATGCCCGTTAGTTCGTTATTTCCCGCACACTCGTCCCAGTCCTGGTCTATGCATTGGATCCCTTGTGCCGTGTCTGTCTTTTTGTACTCGTACACCCCCGGAGGAGCAGATGCATTAGGGTCCACAAAGGTTGAGGGGGCTTCGCTAAATTCAGAAGCAATCGAGTCAAAAACAACGCTACTTCAATCATTGATAAAACTGCCCAGTTGTATGACTTTTTGAGCCACTGACCTTCGGTAGATTTACAAAAGATGTTGGGGTTGAAGTGCGTTAGACCACCCCCTCAATAGCGCAGTGAGTTTTGTAAAAATTCTTTTTTTGGTACATTTTCGTCTTTGGAAAACTTTTGAGGCCTAATGCAGTTGTGTTTTATTACGAAATAAAACGTTCACAACAGTAGGAAAAAAAAACATTATAGTTAATCATAGAGCTCGCAGTTTTATGTCTAATTACATCTTTCAAAATAGACAGTATATTAAATAATTAACAAAACCTGATTCTAACAAAAACCTACATGCTTTGGGACAAACTCATACCGACTCCCACAATACCCTTGCTTCAATATCAAATTATGCTCTTAAAACTCTTTTTTTTTCTGTTTGATAAATGTCAGCAGTTTCACTTCTCTGTCGATGTTGACTTAATGTTGGCTCTCGTCTTTGCTGGCCGCTACCGTTTGGTTCGAAGTAAAATCCCGATCAAGAAAAAGATCCAGCTTGTGGAAGGTACTAACCAGACGTCAAAAACGGCTACAGGAATAAAATGCTATTTAAATAGACTGAGCTACAATTTCATTTTTAGGTTCTTGACATTGGAGCACTTCTAAAAGATGGCACGAAGGATGTGTATCCCTTTTAGCACAAATCGAAAGCTCTCATCAGCGCAGTTTATCACCAAATGATGTACCCGCTACGCATGACTCATGGGAAACGATCGCTGCTTGGTCAGAGGTGAAAAGCACTTCTAAAGCTATAGATGTTTGCTTGTTATTCAACGACACTAGCCCTAAAAACAGTACCGATAAGTGCTGCCCTCTACTGCACACTCAATTCAAGACATCATCAGCTGGCGAGGTAACCATGCTGCTGCGGACTTCATTTCCTTCATCGCTTCACAAACCCATACTGAGTGCTTTCGGTCCATGTGGACTGTGAACCACGCACTTGGAAATAAAAAGATTTCAAGTTTCGCAAACCCCAGAAATCAAACTTCAGAAGTGCATAAGTGTATCTGCATTTTTGAGTCGTTAAAATCTTTATGTAGTTTTATGTTGTTAAAATCAAGTGTCGATAAAAATCAGGATAGGGCTTCTTTTTGCTAAATTATACATGGTTTCAGTTTTTTTTGCCCAGTCGAGCTATTTTACAGCAGACGGCGAACAAAAATCAGCAGTGGACAACTAACGGCCAGACTTATTCGCCAATTGTTGAAATTTCTGGTAGCCAGCGAAAAAAGTGTGTCGCTTCAAAATGATTTAATCTCAGTACTTTACCAGCTTAACCTAATTACAATATTGGTTGGAGAGTTTTAATCAATTTCCAGCAACCGCTTGGCCTCTAGTCACTATTGATAGTTTTTTTCTAGCTCAAACTTTGAATCTGGTCAAAGGCTGGGCTTAAAAACGGAACCGTTCTCTCGGTGTTCAAGAAAGCCCTCAGTCAATTCTTAAAATCTCTGATTCTAAGCTGTAACCCGCACCGAAGTTTTATGGATAAAAATTGATTATAATAGGTTTTTGTTCCCCGGCCCCAATTTGACGGTCGTTTTGTGATCAACCGAGCATTTTTTTCTACAATGAAGCTACTCAAAACGCATTCAAGAGGAATCGTGCATAAATACTAGTTGCCGTCACTGGCTCTGTTTTCCTTGCGCTCGTAAATACCTTGATCTTTTTTCCGTATATACCGATCAAAACAAAAAACTGGTCTTCATTTGGATATTTTTTCTTGCATTAAACATAACACTCAGTTAGAAAAAAATATGGGAGGAGAATTGTGTTGAACTTAATGTTTTGAAGAATTTTTTTTTAGAAAACCACCATATTTGTTAAAATAGATTAAATATCAGATTTGTTGCAAAACAATAGGTTAAAAACACTGCTATAAAGGAGACTGGATATCATGCTTGCCAGATGACGGTGGATCCCTGGATGCGGCTGATCTCCAAACGGATATAATTGACGTGGAATCTGAGTTGGTCTGACCAGCTGCCCTGGGACTGGAACTGCTGTTTGACCAGCATGTAGTAGTAGATATATTGGGGAGGCATTATGCCAGTCACCTACGAACCAAAAAGTGTTAACTGGAACATTTGTAGCTGCAAATTTGACCAATTCGATGAAGGCGCAGCAAGAAATTGATTTATAGTCTTTATTAGGATTCTCGTTTAAAAGTTTTGGTAACTGGGAGGTATTAGAAATCAGAGATAGATTTCTTGGAATGAAGGTTTAATGCTCCACTACCTTTTAGACTACACAGTTGACATACCTCAATTTTCAAATGTGGAGCGTCTAAAATGACACAAAGAAATAGAATTCAGCTACTGAATATGAGTAGATTAGAAACTTTTCTCAAATTGCCTGCACGTAGAGAGGTTTTGCTGGAGGATAGGCACGAAAAACTGAAAATTAAGAAATGAACACTTTTTCTTTGAACCCGAGGAAATTTTTTTGCAATAGTTTGGGAAGGTAATTCACGATAATATCTGGGATACTGGCCATAGTTTTTTGATAAGCAATTTTAGTTATGTCGTTAGTTTATCAGCATTAATAGTACGAGTTGAATAATGACCTACCCATTCTGTATTTGGTGGTGGCTGTGACTTCAAAATTGAGAGAACTTGTGGGGTCAATTAAGGTCGGGTTGCTCACAGGACCTCTGAAAATATCCAGAGGGTTATTATTCAGTAAAACAAAATAAAACTGACTTGTTAGAAAAGCTCAGATTATGAAAACAGGATTTTGTCCAATTTTGGAATTAAAAAAAATACAAACAAGTTGTTTACTGAAACAGCGTATTCAAGATTCTTTCAATTCATATTTTAAGCAAAACTTACTGTTTTATCATATCAAAAAATAAATTATTCTCGGTTTTGATGCAAGCGACGTAAAAAGACGTTGACCTCTTTTGTTTTATAATGAAAGTTCAGACAACATCCAGATGGAAAAAACGTGGAGACCAAAAAAGAAGACCTAATTTTCATCTTCATTACAAAAAAAATCAATGAAAAATTATTGCTTTTTCAAATTTTATAATAACAATATTAATAATCATAATAAAAATCATAATAATAATCATAATAGTAATGATAATAATCATAATAATTGTAGTTTCTGCGATTCGCAGAGGATCTATGAAAGGCCACCCAGTCTGTCTAAGCATAGTCCGTTTCTCTTATTTCCCACACTCCAGACAGAAAAATTTTGATAACTGAAGCTCTTCTTTTTGCGACTCAAGGTCGACCAACTTTCACGTGGTACCACTTTTGCAGCCGAAATTGGTCAGGCTGTGGTTCATTCTCTGGGAGTTGTTATTATTAAAACCAATGTGACCTTGATTGTCAAACTCCACATTCGATCATGATTTTTCGTTTTTGAAGCAAACAATTAAAATCCACGTTCGATCACGTTTTTTGCTGTCTTGCATCAAAGACAAACATCAAAGACAAACACTAACAACACTGCTCGTATCAGGGCGAAGCCCTGAATGTTCCAACTGCCTTTTAAGGTCTATAGAGCAAAAATGACATGGAAAATTTAATTGTAAAAAAAAAAATATTTTTTTAAATTTGGGAATTTTTTGTAAAAACATACCCCCACACGTCGTATTAAAAAGAGAGTGATAGACTTTGCTCCTATAAACAAATCAATTCTGGTATAAAAGCTTCCTTGAACCAATTTGGAACAATTTCAAAGATAGATTAAATCTCCGCTTATGCGTTAATAGAGCGAAATGTATCGCGCGTTAATTGTCCCAAATTGGCTAAAATGGCCAAAATGGCAACCTTTAAACCCTCATAACGTTTTGAAAAAAGATCACAGGTGAAATATCTTTTCAAATTGAAGCTCTGGACAACACTACCTTTTGAATGATATAAAAAAATTCAGTCAAAAACGACTAGTTAAAAAGTCGAAATTTGTCTGAAGAAAAAAAACCCACCCCGATCACAAATATTCCGCTATTTTTGTTATGAAAGTGGGAACAACAAGGATAGCCGGTTACTAGGAAAGTAGTTTAGAATGTTCCGACCATAATCTTAAAAAAACGAGAAAAAAAAATTTTTTTTTGAAGAAACGTTTTGATTTTAAAAAATTGTTGATACCCAAAGTGGGGCAATTAAAACAAACTCCAAATACTAACTTTATTAAAGTAAAACTAAGTATACGCGGCTTAAATTAAGCATAAATAAGCTACTTTAAGACTGCTCGCTCACCTTATTTGCTCAAACTAGACCAAAAATCAGTATTTTTTTAAAAATGTTTTTAATGCCGTTCAAATCACGACTAAAAACTACATTTCTTGGTCTTAGGCAAGCCTAAAAAATTAAACTTCAGATAAATTCGGATGCAAGAAACAGTTATTTGGATTTTTTTTTACTACCGATTCGAATAACAGTTTATTAGCGACTGAAAGGGCTGCGGCTTGACATTGTGCTCAAATTTTTGCGTAAATCACTTACCCCTGTATCTTCGTCATTATAGGGGCGAGTGCTTTCACTCTATTGGCGCAGCTGCGGTTCAATTGTGTAGAAATCAACTCCCCAGGAATATCTACAGAAATGGAAGGGTTCTCTTTAGAATTTGGCTAAACTTGGTAAGAAAATGCTACATTATCCGCACAACAGGAACCGCAGAGACAAAAATATTAAAAATCCATCATCTACAGAAAATTTCACAAATTTCAGATCTGTTGTAAGTTTTTAGAGTAAGTTTCGATTATAAAGTTTAATAAAGGATAATAATGCATTTTTATATACTGCATTATATATACAAGGCTTATATGATTTATATTTTTACAGATTTTATACAGATTGTCCACTGATTATATTCAGACCTTACTCTTGAAATGTACATATTATATACAAAATATATGCTGGATTTCTCAACATAATCGTCCGTCAGTCAAAATGAATTTTTTGTAAAAAAAAATTATAATGCAGGCGCTTCAGCAAATTTTTGAGCTGAAAAAAATATTGAAACAAAAAGGGAAAGTTTTTCCAGCAAAAACTAATTAAACTAAATTTTAATTTTTTGTCAAGGTGTTTTCCACAAAAATTAGGCCTAAAATGTTGATCTTATAAACGGCGTTTGAAAAAGTTCTGCACAAAAGTACTTGTGTACCGCGGGAACTCTTCATTTGCGAAAATTTAGTGGGATCTTTTCAAACTTGTAGTTTGCGGTAAACAACTCTCCTCCAGTGAGTTCAGCTCACTATCATACTAAAAACTTTTCCCAGATAAAATTCTTTCCTAAAATTTGTGACAAAAAACTAAAATTCTTACAACCCCTATAGTTTTTAGACTAATTATATAGTGTTTCATTATTCATGGATAACATTCTAAGATTATTTGAAATTAAGTTACATTTTTAAGATTGCTTGCTAAACGCAACCAAGCGATAGTGAAATTAAAGCAACTGTAATAGCACAGGGGATATTGCAAACGATTTGAAAACAAAAATTAATTGTAATGCTCGACTGTAAGAGCTTATCGCTGATTTAAAAAGATATTTGTACAAAACAGTCCAATATAAAACATTCCGAAAACAGTCTTATATAATTTTTTTTTTCAAAAGCTGGTAGGCCGAGAACTATCCTTTGCTCAAACAACATAAATAACAAAAAACTGACCGTCGCTGTCTTGTCAACGCAATGCGAGATTGTCAATAGAGGGTAGGTTTCGATCTGAAAAGTAGAGACAGTTATCGCCGCAAAGCTGTCAGTTATCCACCGGCGACTGTTAAAAACGAACAGTTTTTTCGTTCGTTCTTAAACTTTTGTCAGATTGTTTTGTTTTGGGCTGCTTCGTATGAGATTGCTTTGTATATGCACCAGTATAAAACTACTCGGCCGTGTTTCATTGTTTTTTGAATGTGCTTGCGGTGTTGTACGAGTTTATGCGTGACCCAAACCCCTGCTTCAAGTACGCTTTTTCGGTCAAATTATAGAGTTCTACCTAGAACCGGGTCTGCTAATTATCAAAATCATTGGATAAATTAAAAAGACAGGTTTTGTTTCTCAATTTGGACAATACTAGCGCTTATAATTAGCAAGCAAATTTTCATATTCTGATTAACTGATTTTTTCTGATTAAAATTGCTGGAGATTTCCCGCAGTGACAAAAAATGGATAAAAATTGGTTATATAAAAAAGTCTAGAGATAAAGGTACGCATAGAATCGACTTATTTGCAAGCGAACGACAATCAAATTTATACTCATAGAGTCAAATTTTTTCTATCTAAAATAAGTGGTTTATTGACAATATAATCAATTTTTCTAATATTTACAACCTGTAAATAATTTGTAAATATTCTGCAAATATTCAGAAATTTTTTTTGAAAAAAGGTATATTTAGTCTGCATACAATCTGTGGATAATCTGTAGGTACATAACTTATATAAGAATGCAAGTTAAAATGTATATGCAGATGTATATGCGCCAGAAAAAATCAATAGCAGGGACATGAAAGATTATGACGGCTTTAGAAATTCCATGAACGACTAACTCAGAACGCTCATGGACACAGGGAGTTTTAAACGAATGCAACATTTATTCAAAACCCGTGATAATAACAAATGTTATCATAAAATTGATGTATTGGGCAATGGAGCTGATGCTTTAGGAAACATCTCCGTCTGCTGTAAAAAAAAACAACATCTTCAGTTTGAGATGGTTTTCAAGGTCAATTCCATGGATTTAATGCAATTTAATGGTTGCCTCGGTAAGACTGAGAAAAATATGGGTTTTTCTGACAATTTTGTTTTACTTTTCATTTAACTTTTCACATTTAAAATTTTCTTACATAAACATGAATACTATTTTAACATTCAAATTTCGTTTTTTTGAAGCAAACTGATAAACAAAAAACTTATAAGATAGAAAACGCAGATCACAGAAAATTTGTTCTCTGCGACTCATTCTTTTTACAGATGGTTATGATCATATCTTTTTAATCAATTATCATCCTGATTTGTTACCTGAACCACATTTATTATATATTCAATTTGAATAACTTCAGACTAAACTGGAAGTCAAAACAAACCCGAACTCAATTGAGACTACTGAAAGATACCTCTAGCACGATTGAAAGACAGTTCGTGCACAGTCCAAACATATTTCGACTGAGTTCGAAACTTTAACAAACTCGGCACGTCAAGTTTGAGGCACACCTCCAGTACAATCAATCAAACTTCTTCAATCGTGGAAACGTACTTCGACCACTTGTTTTGAAAAAAAAGAAGACATTTGCGCTTTCCGTTGGTCAAGAAGGTCAAAACATACCCGACTTTGGTCGAGCCGGTCAAAACATATCTGGCTTGGGCCAAGAAGAACCGAGCGTTGTTTTGTTCGGCCGGGAAAATTGAAAAAGAGTCAATTAACGCTCGTAAACAGACAAATATACAAACTTCGAAATTTAAAATTAAAAAGTATGGTTTGAAAGATGTTTGAATTTCAAGGTTAGTTTATGATTGACACTTTTTGGTAAAATTAGCCCAATTTGAGAAAAATGTATCAAAATATATTTTTTATCCCGCTGCGAAATCTAAAACTGAAATTCCATTTTAGAAACTAGGAACCGATCATGTTTTTTTCGCGTCATGTCAACTTTCAAACTTTGAGAGTGCATTTTGGCTACTTTTTAGCCTATGAGGTTTATTTGAACTCAAAAATCGCATAGAAACGTAAAGCCTTCATATGTGCTTTATAAAAATAAATGCACTTATTTTGTTATCAGATCATTTTAAGATTTTTCCTGAGAAAAATTAGCACGACCTCCATAAGAGTCTGACTACTTTCATCGACTTTTAAAAAGATATGTTAAGGAGTAGATAAAAATCCCATTTTAAAGCAGTTAAACTTTAGTATCGATGTTTTTTTGCTCCTAAGAACAGAAAGAAGGAACAAAGTTCTTTTCCCCACAAAACCAAAGAACACAAACATCGTTAGATGAAATTCAGAAAACATAGCCAACAGACAGTTGGACAACAGTCAATGAACGCAAAGAAAATGAATGGCCTGTTTTTCATAAAAAATCTCAAATTTCGAATTTCATTAAAAAATGTCAACAGACAATTGGAAAAGAGTCAAAGAACGCAATTAAACAAAAAAAATACTGACTTGTTTTTTTGAAAACAAAACTTTAAAAAAGTGAACTTCTAAAAGAAAAAGTAAAAGGATTCAAAGCTCTTTGGATTTCATGATTAGTTTACGAATGACACTTGTATGATAGAAATAGTCCAATTACCGAGAACTAGATCAAAATGTAAGTTTTTATTTCTGCTGAGAAATCTAAAAACTGAAATCCATTTTAGAAACCAGAAGTGAATCACGTTTTCCATTATTTTTACACTTTTGCAGTTCGATAGTGGATTTTGTCTTTGTCTCAACCAATGAAATAAAATGATTTTAATCCGATGTTTTTAAACAGCAAAAAAAATTAAATTTGAGCCTGAACATACTTTATGATTTTTTCTGGAAACAAGAGGACAAAAATCATTCCAACTTATATAAATGTCTGATATACTTCCATCGACTCTTAAAAATATAGAAAATTGATTGGATCGGCCAAGTCAAATCTACAGAAGGCAGCTTTTTTTTGTTTGAGCAAATCGAATTATAAACAAATTCAGTCGAGGCTGTGAAAAAGATATCGTATTCGGGGCAAAAAACTATCCAAATTTACTCGAGATAGTAGAAAAATGAGCAAAATTGGTGGATACAGTCGAAACAAATCAAATTCTGGTCGAGACAGTCAAAGCATACAGGAGTTCAGTTGATGCTCTCAAAACATCTAGGTTTGGTCGAAGAATATTCCGAATTCAGTCGAGACGGTCAAAGCTGGTCTATACATGAAACTGTTGGAGACGTACCAAATTTGTGTTGAGAGAGTGGAAACATAAAACGAGCACCTCGGCCCGGAAAGGCTTGAAAACGAATATTTTCTTCAGTACAAACAGGAAAACGGAACATAAATTGGCTTACATTTTTTGTTGCTGGATAGAAGCTGCTTTGGTTGTGGAGCCTGTACTGAAATTGAAGACCAAAATTAATAATTATATAGAATAATTTAAGCTTGCCTTTCTTCGAAAAATGTTTGTGAAAAAACTTGAGTTTGATTTAATAATCCTTGTTTTTTTTTGCGATTTCATCAAAGTGTTCTGAGTTCCGAAAATAGTGTTGCGGATTCTGCAATTTCGGCTGCTTTTGAAGAAATTTTGAGCGAAGTTTTAACTATTTTTCGTAGACTTCTCGACAAATTGCAGAATCCGTTTTTAGTTCACAAAATACAAGGTTCGCCTCGTAATGGAGGTTGTGTTCATCTCAAACAAATTCTTTTTTTTTTAATTTCAAGGTAAAGCTTGTTTAAAAAAGCAAAGGAATGAAAGTATGTCGGAAAAAGATGTTTGGGTGCGGCGGAGCTGCCTGAAAAAATATATGGCTGGAAAAACTGTCGGAAAACAGTTCGTGGGTAGATAGAAGCTATCAAAAAGAGTTATCTTGCCAAATTTGGGATAGTTGTCAAACGATATAAGTCAACGTCAAAACAGTCTGGACGAGGTGAATGGAGAAACAGATTTGTCGGAAACCAGTGCAAAATTGTTCCGCGTAAAATTTTAGAATTCGGAGACCGAAAACAAATCAATATGTGAAAGTAATTGGGGAAACTATTTTACAGGTTCAGTTTTTTGGCTCTCGAGAGTCTCTTTACTTACTTGTGTACTTCAGTTCAGTTTGTGGACACTGAATGCAGCTGATAGTGTAAACATAAACAGCTCCTTTGACTGCAGGCAAGTCCCCACAAAAGAAGAAGAGAGACACTTGGTCGAAGGACGGGCTAGAAGAATCGAACTCTACTTTGCCCAACATTGAAGACTCTGAAGCAGACGGATGAAGGTTAATGGGGAGGGGAGAGGAATTGGATTCTCTGTCTAAACCAAGGATCAAAAAATCCTTTTGATATTTTTTTGATGTTATTTTTCTTCAAATTCTATTTTCCATTTACCTCTCCTCGAAAGAACCCTAGAGCGGCCCCTAGGGGGGGGGGGGTTGTTTGCACGCTATAGCAAAAGCGTTCCCAGTTAAAACTCCCCTTAAATGTGCAAGTGACCATTACAAAACAAATATGGTCTCTATCTATTCGTGAATTTTTTAAAGAACATGAAGCATATTAGCCTTGTTCGCATCTATAGTGGAAAGGTCAAAAGAAAAACTTAATGACCTAAAAGTTGAGCAGATATTTAAAACATCAGGAGGGTCATCATTGTAAAGTAGAGATCAATAAGTTACCGTCCCCCAGCAGTGGGTTGAGGGGAGCACAGAATAGCAGGTCATTGAAGAGTGCTTCAGTTTTGATGTCGGCCAACCAGCGATAGTAGCGCACTCTGTATACATGAGCATAGCACAGGCCCCCCACGGGTAACTTAATAAACCCAGGTATTTGGCTAGAACGATCAATATTGCTTGTTTTCGGTAATCGGTGGCTGTTTATGGCGCCGCTTCTTATTTTTTTTTCGTATTTTTTCGACAGTTTTTTATTCATTTTTTGAGGGAAAACAATTCCCATATATATACAGGGGCGGATCTAGGATTTTCTCGACGGGGAGGCGGATTTTCAAAAAAAATTTTCGAAAATTTGGACGACTTTTTTTTAAGTCGATCAGATTGATTTTCCGAGCAATAAAAATACCATGTTTTGGCCAAATTTTCTGCGCCGCAAACAATTTTTTGAAAAAACAGGTCAAAAAAGCCGTTTTTGGGCACTTTTTGGAAAATTTTAACAAACAAAACGCGTTTTTTTGGCGCGCGCTCCCCCTCAAAATTAGTATATATTGGCGCCCAAGGCGCCTTTAGAAAAACTTTAGGGTCGGTCGGCCAAAAATGGATTTCTTAAAAAGTACCAAAGGGGGGACCCTTTGGGTTGGCAGGGGTTCGAATCCCTGAGGGGGGGGGGGGGGCGTCCGCCCCCCCCCCCCTAAATCCGCCCCTGTATATGTATATAGATTGGAGAAAAAAGTAACGCAACGAAACATGCTTATACCCAAATTGAAGATGTTCTCATTTAGTTTTCCAAAAGCAGTGAAATTTTTTCGCACGTCGCATGTAAGTTTGAAGCAACTCAAAGATCCAAATCAAATCGCAATCAAGATAAGCAATCAAAGATGTGACTTTTCAATGAGAGAAATTTCTAACTTTCAAGGCAGCCAGACCAATGGCCTTGAGCGTGAGATTGGTTTGGAGGGTTATTAGACAACACATTGCCGACAACGAAATGCCTATTCAGCACATTAGCACAGCTACATTAGTTAGCACAGCAGTTTGGATTTAAAGCTTTTACTATTAGAAAAATTGGGGTATCGGGAGGGTCTCCAATGTAGACTACGGTTTCGAGGCCCAACTCCTCTGCACGGACATCTCCAAAACGTCTTGCTAGGATTTTGTCATAAGATATTTGGATATATCGTGACTGCAAAAATTTTTTTTCAGTTTGGAGTGTCATTTTTCTATGAACTCAGACGACAAGCTTTATCTCGTTTACAGACACAAAATTGCTGAATTGTGAAAGAAATCATTCAAAAGTCTGAAAGAACAGCCAGCAAAAGTTTGATGATATGTTGGGGACTTTCAGCAAGCTACCGAACACGTTTTGTTTTGATAAACAGCACACTGAATGCGGCAGCTTATTGCGATCTGGTTTTTAGGGCAGAATTACCAATTTTTTGCAGGACACTGCTCACGCCAGTCAGCACAAATTATATATCAATTTCTACCAACAAAGATTATTCCCGTGTTGCCCTGACCTTCTCGCAGCCCGATCTAAACCCAACGGAGCTTGCGTGGGATGTTTTGAAACGAGTGGGATGTTTTCAGCTTGCGTGGGATGTTTTATGCTTGCGTGGGATGTTCTGGCTCATGTAATTATTGCGTCTCGGGGCACCTTCAGCACAGCACCGAAGTGATGAAAGTCATAATAGAACCTATGCGGCGAAGCTTGACTTTATGCATCACAATATAAACAGGCAATACTGGCTAATATCTTTTTTTTTAAGTTAACAAGATTTTTGGGAGATTTTTTTTAATTTTTCAAGTTAACAAACGCTTAATTCCTTTAGTTGCGATACTTTTTTCTCCTTTTTTCTCCCAGAGCCATTGCGATCTGGTTTTTAGGCAAAATTACCATTTTTTTGCATGACACTGTTCATGCCGCTCAGCACAATTTTTATATCAATTTCTAGCAAAAAATGTTGTTCCCGTGTTGCCCTGACCTTCTCGCAGCCCGATCTAAACCCAATTGAGCTTGCGTGGTATGTTTTGAAAAGAGTGGAATGTTTTGAGCTTGCGTGGGATGTTTTGAGCTTGCGTGGGATGTTTTGGCTCATGTAATTATTGCGTCTCGTGGCACCTTCAGCCCCGAAGTGATGAATGTCATAAAATAATCTATGCGGCGAAGCTTGACTTTATGCATCACAATAGAAAGAGGCAATACTGGCTAATACTTGGTAGTTTTTTTTAATTATCAAGTTAACAAACGTTTAATTTCTTTAGTTGCGTTACTTTTTTCTCCTGAATAGATTGGAGCCAAAGGTTATGCTAGACACAGCTTTTGTCGCAAAATCTATTTTGTGCTCATAGAAGAGAAATACCGCATACTTTTTACGCCATTTATTAGAAGTTGAGTAACTTTCTCAAGTTAGTGCTTCAAAGTTGAATGTTTCAACTTCTTAAAATAGTCTCATGACTCTGTTTCTCTTTGTCAAACTGTTTTTTGGTCTTTATTATCCAGGCTTATTCTGTTTGGAAACAATCACTTATTTAACTAAAACTAAACTTAAATTTATTTTGATATGTTTGACCGTGCTTGCCGTATATTTTGAAAAGGGGCTCGGCTCAAACCTGCATTGATTTTTTTTTTTGGCCCAGCACTAAAATTGTGCTCTGTTTTGAAAGTCTAAACATGAAATGTGCTCCTCATTCTAAAATAATTTATCAGAGGAATTTCGCATCAACAATTTTACACGCAAACTAGGGTGGGGCCACTTTTCGACTGTGGTTTAGCTGGGATATCTGTTCATTACAAGTTCCGAATATTCAAGTTCAATCTAACAATTATTTATCGTAATTTATGTTGAGAAGATATGTGGCTTTGAATGTTGTAAAGAGTGCGGCACATTACACTGAAACTGCAATCGACGAAATATCTCTTCTTGTCGCGGTAAAAATTTTAAAAATGATTTATTCATGATATAATTACAAAATCATATCGAAAATCATATTGTTCTTTTGTCTGATTTTCATAGGTGAGAGACGGAGACCCGGAGGATTCGTTCCGCAGCAGAGTAGTATCGCGGAAAAGAGATACTACTCAGCTGCGGAACGAATCCTCTAGCTCTCCGTCTCTCACTTATGATTATCAGACAAAAAAAACATTATTCGATATGAATTTGTAATTATTTGATGAATAAATCATTTTTTTTCTTTTGCCGCGACAAGAAGAAATATTTCGTCGATTGCAGTTTCAGTGTAATGGGCCGCACTTTTTACAACTTTCAAAGCCACATATCTTCTCAACATAAATTACAAGGAATAATTGTTAGATTGGACTTGAATATTCGGAACTTGTAATGAACAGATATGTTTGTACTTAAGATCCCAGCTATACCACACAGTGGAAAAGTGGCCCGACTGTCGATTAGGTTGCCGAATCTACTGAGAAATTACGGCAACCTATTTAACTCCAGCGAGTCAATTTTTATTTGGACACCGGTTCAGCTCTCTCCGTCTTGACCAAAAAGATCAGTGACGCACTCCACAGAGTCGAGAAAACAGACCTGAAATTTTTGATTTGGGTAGCCATTTTTCTCCCCTAACGATCTTTTTGGAAGCTCCCCCCCCCCCCCGCTCGCCCCTTTTCTTTGACGTCACAATTTGGTTTCCTGCTCTGATAGATGTGATACTTAATCATACTTAATTTTTTGTGATACTTAATCAGCAGCCGGCTTTAATTGCTTACATCCATTATTTGTTTAGACAAAATGTTCAGCCATAAACGGAACAAAATGAATGCAAAAACGAACCTGAATGTTAAGCCAGAGTAATCTGAAAGATTCAAGGACAGGTTACACTTTTGCTTTATGGCACTCATTCAATAAGTTTTATTGAGTGAAGATTTTGGTCAAAAATTACCTTCTCTGGTCATATTGGAACAGTTGTACATTTGTTGATTCACTCTTGACACGCGAACTATGAATCGAGGGTCAGAGCTGATCGATCTCTTGTAGACTGAGACTGAAACACATCATCCGGGCACTCGGACATAAGGCAGACATGGTTTCATGCCAAAGGGACATCAGAACAAAATTGAACTTTAAAGGCACTTCGAAACGTTAAAACTTCCTTTTAAAATGTTAGTTTCTTTGGGGCAAATAAAAGTATTTTAACCACCAGCGGATTTAGGGGGGGGGGGGGTGTGAGTGGGGCGACTTCTTGCCGACCCAAAGGCTCCCCCCTTTGTACTATTTTGAGACATCAATTTTTGGTTGGTTGACCGTAAATTTTTTGTAAAGACGCCATTATATACTAACTTTGAGAGGGGAGCGCGCGCCGAAAACACACAATTTTTTGGTCAAAATTCTCTAAAAAGTGCCTGAAAACTGGAACCTGATCTAAACTACATTTTATGATTGGATAAATTAGATATTTTACCACTGTAAAGTATTTAATATTAACCAATCATGATCCATCTAACTAACAACCCACTTATTTGTAAGTGCTGGAATTACTTGTAATTTCAGCACCAGAGAGATTTGAATTTAACTTAGAAATTAGTTGCCTCTCCAAGAGAACTTCAGCAGTTGCAATAAGCCAGTATACTCTAGATCTATTGAGCCTAGCAGAGACTAGTTAAACACCCTGAGACTAGTAGATATAAGAGTAAGATTAAGATTGGTATTAGACTAAGAAGTTGCACGAATCTATCCAGCCGAAAATAAGACATCGTGACGAGCAGACTGTGTACCTTATCTGAAATTACTCTGGATATAGTATAAATCACATAACTCACCTGGTGCGACCAAAAGTCTCGAACAGACCTTAACTAACCTAGACTTAGACAAAAATTAGATTAGAACTAGACAACTACAACATTGCAAAAACGTTATATGACAAAAACTTAGTAGATATGTCTCTACGACTCAATAGATCAAAGCCAATATTCCGAACGATAAGAGAACTACCCGGAATTGGAAGAAGACCTCGAACCAGAGACGACATACGACAAAATAGAAACTTACCAAATAGTTATATGATAGTACGGCAAAAGCCAACACAAACTTTTATATTTAGAATTTTATTATAGCAATGAATTTAGATTTTCATTTGCAAACTTAAATCTTGAAGTCAATCTTCATGCTCATTTCAGGCGCTTAACAAAATATTAATATACAATAACGATTGATAAAAATATCTCAGATCGTTTTCCTAAAATTCTGCAGTATTATATAAAACATGTTTGGAAAATATTTATTGAAAATCAAAATAAAAATTAGTAGCATGACAATAAACTGTTAGTAATCATAAAATCATCAGTTGTCTCAGCTTCATCACCTAAAACATAACAGCAATCATAAGCTCACTAATATCATTAAAACACTAAATCTTTTCTTAAACAAATTTAAACCATTTTAAACTTAAATTCACTTAATTTTAAAATAAGATCATCAAGGCTTATCCTTGGATCTTAATTCATTTTCTATTTAATTAAATTTTAAAAACTTGATCATCAAGGCCTCTCCTTGGATCAAAAAGAACAATTTTGTTCTCCCCCACCCACTTAGTTAGTGTCTAACGACCTCAAACGTCGATTCACTATCCAACCCTTTCGCAAAACCCAAGACTAATAGAAATTTTTCAACAAAACTAACCATTCAAATTAGGATAAACAGTGAAGAACTTCGGTTATTCATCCTTCACTTGAACCCTCCTCTTATCAAGACCCAGGATATATCATAGACTTAGTAAGTTTAAAATAGTATCTTACGAACTACTCGCGTTCTAATTATACCTGAACCTTGTGGATCGATTTACTATTCTCCAACCCTTGAACACAATCACTACCCCTAAGTAAGATTAAGTAAGTTAACACCTTAGCTTATACTAGCCACGAGAAAGTAAAAATCATTCTTCGGAATCGAATTACTTTTCTCTCCAACCCTGAACAAATAGACCCAGGTTAAGCTAACCAAAAAATCGTAAGGACTAACAATTTAAGAAAATAGAATTCATCTAACAACTTTTTGCATCCGTCATCCTAAACCTTATGTCATTTAAAAATCTAGGAAACAAACAAACAATCGTTTTGCACAACTGTGAAATAGATAACAAAAAATACGACCTTGTAATCACACCTCACACACAAACAGTTGGATATATTAGAACAAAACGACAAACACTAAAAAGAAAAATAATAACTAAACAAAGACAAATAACACGAAAAAGATTTTCCAAAAATAGAAACGCATTTTCAGAATCAGAAGCCAGCAATTTAGACGAACTTTATAAATTAAAAGAATCTTTAGATAAAAATTGCCCCATACACAATCAATTATATTTTTCTGACTCAGAAACAACATCAAATTCATCAAAAAGAGGAAAAAGACGAATAAAAAAGCAATATAAACACAAACCAGTACATTTATACAACTGGAATCAACCAATTAGACACATCGATAATTACCTATTAACAGTCATTAAACAAAAAAATGAGCCAAACACACACTCCAAGTGAAGATGGTCCAGATGATGACGATATCTTCCCCTTCCTCGTAGATGCACCCACTGATAGAGGACAGCATATACTTTGCAAGAATTTACTACTAAATTTATTTGAACCCGGAATCAGCCTATGTACAGCAGAGTTCCCCGATGTAAAAATCAAAAGATAAATTATTGATCACTATCTGAAAGATATATGTAATTTGACACAACACTACGGAATCTACACCATAGAATTAACCTCACTAAACCCGAATCACCGCAAATATGTAATTCAAACAGACGACCTTGATTTAGAATTTTCAAAAGTATTCTCAGAATACATAAAAAGCATACAATATCATAACTCACAAAGAGCAAACTCCATATTCACTAATGAAGTTTTTGCCATAATATATAGCTATATCTCAATATTAGAGAACGAAATTCCAATCCCAAATGTCTCACCGACAGAGACATCCAAACATATAAAGGTACGACATGAAATCACACTAATTTCAACTTTTTTTACATATAATTAAAGAAAATTTCACTAAAGATGATGTTTCACAACATACAAAACATGACTTACAAAACATTTTGGCATGGTTTATAATAGATTATTTCACACATAATATAGATTTAATTTCACAAGCAAGAAAAAATTTCAGACCTCAAAATTCAAACGATGATACCGCCATCACAGAACAGTCAGACTACGTTTGGGACCCCGAATGGTCTCATTATGCATTTATAAATATCCCACAATCAATTGCAAGTCAAGCAATAAGTACAATATCTTATACCAGAGATTATGTAAGAGTAGTACCATTAACAATTGATGCAACACCATTAAACTACAATACATTTTTACCCGATACGCGAAATAACAGTTTAAACCCGACCGTCATACACAATGAAAACCTTAATGGAACTAGGAACCTCACTCAACAAGATATTCAAACACCATCACACTTCATAAATGAAGAAATTGTACAAACAACAACAACTACACAACAAAGTATTTCACCAATACGTCCAAATTTAACAACACCAAGAAATACAAACACTTTACTAGCACAGGTAACATTACAGTCAACCGTTAAACCTTCGGTTGCTCCAAAATATTCACAAATGGATTACCAAACATATAGACCCATGACAATACCATCGAAAACACGCAGAACATTCACAAGAAACAATTTTGCGGAACATAATTATAATTATACACATTCATCAAAAACAAACTATCCTCCACGAAATAATAATAATAACCAAATCAGATCTCGATATTGGAATAATCCAATGGCAACAACCAATTCAGTAAATTTTCAGGCTAATCCACATCCTCCACAGGATTATAGTGAAAATTACCCATTCTTTCAACAGAATAAAGATAAAAAACAAACTCCTCATCAAACGGATTACCTATCCTCTGATGATGATCATTTACAACCAGATATATTTGCACCATATACCCAAGAATATCACGGACAAGGAATGCAGAAACCATATACACATCATAGAAATTTTTCTCCCCACCAGATAGATACACAAAATCAACAACCAATACAAATGCAAAACCCAATTAATACACAATCTTTTCAACCAATTCAGCCACAAAACCCAATGATTACACACTCATATCAACCAACACAAATGCAAAATGAAATACCACTTCCATATTATCTTCAACAACACGAAATAACAAAAAATCAACTTTCTAATTTTTCACAAATGCAAATGCAGCAGAATCATTACAAATGACAATGAATCCATACCTTATGGGTGGATCATCAATAACATCAAACAAACCATTAATGGTATTCACAGGAACAGACCCTGAATATTCTGTAGAAGATTATTTAAATGCAGTAACAGCAAATTTAATTTTAAATATAGGACCTGAACCAATTAATACGCCACTACTCAAAATTGGATACATCGACGCACAGCGTTGATACAGACAACCCTAGACGGCGCAGCCCAAAAATGGTTTTCAGTATTGCCTATAGAAATAAAATCAAATTGGAAGAGATTTACACAAGAATTTTCAAAAATGTTTGACTCCGAAAGAAACAAACAACAGCAAAGAGTTTTATGTAATGAAATTCGCAGATTACCAAATGAAATCATCAAACAATTAGCAGTACGTATTGAAACACTAGTTCGAAAAGCATACTCACTAAATACACACGACTACAAAAACACAAAAATGACAGAAATCTTAATGATGACCTTAACACCTCAATTAAGGAAAATAGCAATAAAAAAGAGAGCATCCCATCCCTCCTCAATTCGAGAGCCCGATTTAGATTTTCGAAAACTAGTAGACAAACTAGAGCAAGCAGAAATCACAATGAAACTTGAAGAAACAGAAAATCTGAAATTACAATATGTTAACCGAATTGAAACAAATACCACAAATATCAACAATATACAGGAATCAGATACAGACCTCGTTGAAAAAATCACTGAAATACTCAATATTTATGAAAAACACCCAAACTTTAAAGGCAAACCATCTTCAAAAAATG